GGGGCGGGCGGCGGCGCGGGCAGGCGCCGCGCTCGCTCCTCCTCCTCGGCCGCCTCCTCCTCCTCCTCCTCCTCCTCGTAGAGCGGTGGCGGCGGGCAGGCTCCGGTCGCGGCCCCGCAGCTCCCCACCGAGGCGGCGCGGCCTCCGCTCCCTCCTTCCTCGGTCGCTGCCCGGCCCCGGCGCGATGTCGGGCGGTGCGGCGGGCGCCCCCAAGCCTCTCCCGTCTTCCGGGCCCAAGTCGCTGCGGGAGATGCCGCATCCCCTGGCCACGTCCAGCAGCGAGGAGATGGGGCCGGCGCTCACCCCCAGCCCCGACCTGCTCCTGCCCCGCAGCATCGCCGACAAGGTACGCCTCCGAGAAGGGGGGCCGCGGCGTTGGGGGGAGGGCGGGGAGTTGTCTCCGCTTTTGAAGGGGAGCGTGGAGAGGAGGGAGAAGGGCTGTGTGTGCGTGTTTTTCCCCGCCACATCCGCTCCTCCGGCTGCATCCCTGGCTGCCCGCGGGGAAATGAAGCCCTGGGCGCTGCTGACATCCATTGCAAGAGCCCGGGGCTGCCCGCGGGGGGAGAAGGAACTCGGTGTGGGCGCTGCAGGCATCGCGCCTCTCTCTGCGAGGGACCGGGTGGGACGCCGCTGCTCCTGCTCTCACCGGAGTGCGTGCAAGAGGCGAGATTCTGCCGATCGTATCTTCCCGTGGCTCGTACCCTCTACAGACGGGTCTGAATGCTTCAGGAATTGCTGCAGCTCCCTTGCCGTCTTCTTCCTGTAGCCCTCACAGGGAAGGCTTGGAGCTGCCCTTGTTTCCTTACCACCGAGCTTGCCAGCAACTTGTCTCTGATTGCCCTCTCCAGAGCTGAGCTTCTGCTCGCTTCTTCACAGCAGTGTGGTACGGACAGGCTGCTGTTGCAGGAGTATCTGCGTGCTCTCCCTTCCCTAGCTCTGGCATGTGTCCGCAGGACACTAGCGGGCTTGCCTGTGCCTTTCCTGTGTGTGGGCCTTGGATGTGATAATTCCCAAATGCGAAAGCAGTAGTGCCAGCACAGCACTCCTGATATGTTAACTACTCTTGCAAGGACGTAGTATCTCTGTGGGCAGATTTCCAGAAACCTGTTAAAGTAGGATTTCTGGGAGCAAGGGTTGCAAGGGGTGAGATCGGTTTGAAACTTCGTAATAAGCAGTTCTGGGCTCGCTGGTGTGCTTACAAGGTGTTAACAGAGCTGCTGGTGGCAAGAGGTGCTTTCTGTGGCTGTTGTCCTGGGGAGGGTGGAGCTGCCCCTGGGAAGGATGGATCTGCTAGTCTTCAAAAGCCTTGGGGCTGCCAGCAGTATCTGGTCCAATACCCTCCTGTGTTCTAGGGGAAGGGGTCAAGGTAGTCTGTCGTCTTCCGTATGTCACCTTCTGCTGCTCTGTAACTGTGCCGTACAGATTCAGCAATTGTTCCTGCCTGTCTAAGGAGCCCTCTCCTCGAACATTTGTCTGCTGTTGCTCAAGTGAGAACCCAGGCTTACCTTCCCTTTGCGAACATATGCCTTCATCTAAGAAACTTGTCAGAGAGTTGATGGCCCTCTGAGAGAAGGAGGTATGTGAGTAAGGTGGGAGTAGGAGTTGTGGAGTTTTTTGTCTATGATAGATTGGATTTACTTATGGAGTTAGGTTGCTGTCTGACCAACCTGTAGCAATAGGAGTTGGCAGCTGCCTTCATGGGTCCTCTTGCAGCTCAGGAGTGCAGTGATAGTAGTGTACTCACTCTGTTAGCACTGTCCATCCACACTGCTGTGTAGCTGGTGAGAAGCTCTGTTCTGAGGAGCTCACGCCCTGTAACTTCTTTCTTCAGCTGTACTAAAGAGATTTTTTTCTTTTGGAGCACAAGCAAGCTCCTGTCTGCTTTACTGCTTTGAGGTGTCCGAGAAGTGTATCACCATCCTTGATAACCTAGGAGCAGAAATACCTCTCTAGCCTCAGGCTGTGGTCAGCTAACTTCTTGTCAATAGGAAGGTTCTTGCCCAGTTTTTCCACCAGCAACACAGGTGAAATCCATCTTCTAGTACCTGTATGTAGTATTGTCCTGTTCTAGGCGCTTGGCAGAACAGAAGTACTCTAAAGGGGAGAGCCAAAAGGGGCTGAGGTAAACAATTTTTAGACTTGAGAGCAGTTCTGTGGTTGACCTGGAAATGACACTAGGGTAATGAGCCTTGCAGAATAAAAGGATTTCCAGTAGGAGGAGAGCAGTGTTCTTTTTTTTTTTTTTTTTTCCCTTGTAGCTGAATTAGCAGAAAAAGACAAACGTCTGATCCTTCTGATGGAAGGAGTCCAACAGCTCTGCCGTGTGAGGGATGTCCCTTCTTCCGCTTAATACCTGATGCACTGGCAAGAAAAAAATGAGTTGACTTTTTTTCCACCTCAGGAAAAACTTCAGCAAACAAACGGGTGTTCCTAACTTTAAGGCAATAGTAAACTTCAACTGCTTGCACTGTATATTGAGTAGTCTAGAAAGCAAGTATGTTAAGTGGAGGTAAGTAGGTAAAACTGCCTTTTAGGTGGTTAGTATGTCTCTTGGTCTTAATTTCTGGTAGAGAGTCATTAATCTCTTGAAAGCCTGGCTCACTAATCAGCCAACAATGTGTGGACAGCTCCAATAGTTGGGTAACAGAGGGAGGTCAGTATTTAAGTCTAAGTTGGGCTTAAAGGTCTGCAGCTGTTCTTTACTGATTCTTGAACAGGAGATGTGCTTCTCTGCTCTCTTGGTCTTTCCAAGGGCCTTTCTGGAGACTCTGGTAGAGATTGGCACTGCAGGAGAAGTTTGGGTTAAAGTCTCCTGCTGCAAAGTGGCTCTGAGTCAGTAAGCTTCTGTAAGGACCACTGTCCATAATAGGACTGTACTAGGAGATCCCTCTGGCAGAGGGATAGTGGCAATGGCTGACCCATCACCATGAACTGCATAATTTGCCTTTTCTGTGTTCTTCTTACCTGCTCTGAGCAAATGCTTCCTAAACACCACTGCAAGATATACCTAAGACTGAAATCCTCTGAGGAGAGAAAGTGCAGAAGTAAGGGAAGTTTTCTGTCCATAAAGCAGTGCTTCAATTCCCACTGCCACAGATGTGCAGCCTGAAGTGGCTGAACCTCTGCCATCACTGCTTTGCATTCTTTAAAGCATGCTTTCCTTGCTTTTTTGGAGCTCCTGAGTAAGAACACTACTTTATCCTGAGACAGAAGAACCTGGAGGACAGGAACACTGCCTGTATGCCTCCTGTTGGGTTTTGATACAAACATGGTAATAATCTAGGAGCTTAGACCCTGTCTAACTTAGTCTCATAAACCTTTGGTTGCTGTTCAAGAACAGTGGCTAATGCTGCTAGCGCAGCAGGTCATGGGAAAGGGAAAGAAAACCACCTGTGCTGTTTTCTGTGGCTTCCCCTGTTCTAAGGCCCTCTAAGTAGACTAGTCTCAAGTTTTCTGAGTCTTATGAAGAGGTCTGCAGAGCTTTCATTGTCTGAGTGCGTCTTTCTCCTGACTTGTAGGAGAGAGCTGTTTTAGGAGCCAGAAGACCTTTACTTCTTAAATGAAATGGACATTTCTGGCTAAGTACTTGGCCTTCACAGTGATTCTGCAGCAAACATCAAACACTTGAGTTGTAGATTCTTGTCTCTGAAGCCTTCCTGTATTGGCCAGATCTTTCCATAAAGATCTTTCTGTTCCCCTCAAGTCTAATTGCATAAAGAATTGCTTGTCCTGATACCTGACCACCATCAGGTTTTTCGAGCTTATTCTCCCTTTACCCTTGCTAACCTCCAAATAAGGAGACAGCTAAAGCTGAACCTAAGCAGTACTGACACACCCCACTCCCCCCCCTTTTTTTTGACATTAGGTGAGAAGGGAACATGCAGGTGGAAACAATCCCTCAGGATGCATGGCAGGTGCCATTGCAGAGTTAGCTGTAAAACTGAGTTCTTGCTCTCTTACAGAGGTTTTGGAAGGCATGCAAGCTAATTGAGATCTGCTTTTCAGAGCAGATCCTCTGCAGAGGAAGGTAGGACAAATGAGGAAGTGTCAGTGTGGATTTCTCTCCTTTTTCCTTTTAAAAAAAAAAAGTTCTGCTTGCATGTGACTACTTGACTCCACTAGTATGTCACTTTCAATAGCGAGTCTGCTCTGTGCACTAGGAGAAACACTTTGACACTGAGGAGAAAAGGCATTATTAATGGGTTACTGGGTTCAGAGCTGAGGTGAGAAGTAGATGGTATTCTGCTGTAATAGTACCCAAATAGTTGTAGAAGTGTGATAAGACTCAGGATGCAGCCCCACTGAGGCTATGCAGTTTTAATAGCATGCTGCTAAGTGTTGGAAGTGCCAGGCTGTGCAGAATCAGAAAGTGTTTTTTGTATGGCTTGCTTACTCTGTCCTCTAGCCGTGGTCCTTGTAGTCCCCCTAGACTTATGTCATGAGAGTATCTTCCTAACAGGGTAATGTTAGCTGTTCTTGCTATGGTTTGCCTTAAGACTGGCAGCTGATAGGGTCTCAACTCCCAGTACTGGTTTCTTGCCTATCACTCCAAAAGCTTTCATATCCCACCTGTCCTAGGGCTCAGACTCCCTTGTCCTCTTTCAGACATCTCTGACTACCTGACACTGCACTTGCGGCCAGCTACCTATAACCTGTTCAGCTTTTCTTCTTTGAAGATGTGCATGCTTTGTATTTGGCTCTGTTAATGCTAGACAGCTGAAGTGACCTTCAAGGCTGTTTTACAGGTAGTAAGTATATCGAGCAGAGCTGATGTGGAATACCAGGCTTGCAATGAATGCATAGCTTGAATTTTCTAATTCATGGAGATGGACGTTAAAACTCCTACTGCAAACTTCTGGTTACTAACTGAAAACTATTGCTTGTGTGGGACCCCTTGCTCATCTGCTTCCAAGCTACCACCCTGGTGAATCCATAGGCCTGTATTAGCACCTGATCAAGTATAAATACTTGGTGTGTTTGCTGGAGTGCTCTTACTTAGCACTCATATTCTGGAAGGGAGCCTGGCAGCTCTCCAACAAAAAATATACCAAGAGTCTGGAGCTCTACTTCCAGTCTGCTTGGTTGCTAGTTTATAATTATTGCTCTTAACTTCATCCACCCACAGATGAAACTAGTTTGCAGTATAATCTGAAAGCTTAAAATAGTTCTGCCTGAGCTTCTACAAACCTCTTCCTTCTCTGACTAAACAAGGACTGTTAGACCAGAACCATGTGTTGTACTTAAAGCAAGCTGGAGGTAAGTTCTCAGTCTCGGGAGAGACTGAGGACTACAGAAAGTCAGGAACTGAAGTTGGTGAACTCATGAAGTGATGTCAGTATAGATGAG